ACTAAACCAGAGACCCTCAAGTAGGATTCCTCAATCCTCAGGAGAAATGCTTGGTTTTCTTTAGCTCTTTTTAACAACTTGAGCCTGATAACAGTTCAGAAGGAAAATTATTTTGAAATTCAGAAAGGTTTTGGAATTGAGAACATTTTTCATACAGACAATAAGCAGGGACCTCTGACAATGAAATGATATAAATTAAAATAAGAAGCATTTTTATTTGTTATGCTCTGAGACAGAGAAGGGATTCTTCTCTGAAAAAGACATCAGGAAGAAAATTCTGCTTCTCATTCTACATGTGGTCTAATATGCAGGTCCAATTTTAGAAGGATTTGTGATTTCCTCCTTAATTAAAGACTCTATAGAAACAGCTTAGTGGCTTATATGAAAAGACTTTATGTTGTTTTTCAGATCCCATTTTACTTCTGAGATCTGTGTAGTTATTTAGGCATACAGAACTGAAAAGGATCAACCAAATCACAGTCTAATCTCCTGTGATCACCAGCAGCCATATAATAGCTGTTAAGATCAGAAAAGTTCACAAGAATGTTCACAGTGGACCCCCTCACATGACATCAGCCACAAAGAACGCCCCCTAATTCTTGTAATCAGCTTCGGATCTTTAATACATGAAACCCAAGAGCCTCCAAAATATAATGCACCAGGAAAGACAGTAGGAGAAACAAGAGCATGTCCTATGCTAGAGGTTTTCTCTTTTGAAATAAAGGAGGAAACAAGTTTCTCAAAAGGAAATCTCTGATAGCAGGTTCACAAAAAGAGGTTTCAGAATGGGTTTAAAATATTTTCTGTTATTAACACTATAGTCTTTGATATAACCAGGTTTGTGGGGTCCTCAGATAGGCATACCATTTCCTTTACCTACATGTTCTTAGTTCTTTTCATGGTCTAAAATTGTTTGGAAAAGCCTTGAAGAAAACAAGTAAGGAAGCTTCAGACTCAAGTAATTCCTTAGGGTCCAGTTTAAGGAAAATGTTTCCTCACTTTGGGCAAGAACCACAAAGATGGTGGCAAGTACAAGAAACAGGCCTTTAGCTCCTCTGGCAGGGCTGCTACTTCACAGAAGCCTCTTAAGATTCCAAAGATACAATGAATTCAATCAGTTCCTCCTCCATAAATTAAAGGGCAATGACTGGTCCAGACCCTCCTCTTCTATGGATGGCTAAGCATTAGTTAGCTGTTAGTAATCAATAAGAACCACATAACTGACCCACGTGTCAGCCACTGTGCAACACTTAGCATATCTCCTGTCCTTTCTTTACTTTCTTTTGCTCAGACCAAATGAAGTCCTATTTAGGACTCTATTTGCCATTGTCTTATTCTGGGGGCAATTCCACCAAATCTATCTCAGGTCAGAGGGGTGGATCCTTCCAATATTAGAAAAGGGGCTGCTGATTGTTCCTGGAGTTGCATCTTGGCATTAAGTTGTGTTTCTGAATAAGGAGAGATAGGAGGTTAGAAAGTAGAGAAATGCGTACTCCCTGGAGCTGAAAGAAATATGTATTCTGATCCATCTTTCTTAATTTCAAATATGTGCAGTTTATCTAGGGGATTTCCATTCTTATTAGGGATCCTTCTTTTCCTGTCTGCCATCAGCTACATGAGTCTACTTCAAAATCTTAGGTGAGTTAATGCTTCTTAAAGAGAAGAATTTTCAACTAGCAATAATCGTGCCTCAGATTAACCTCATTGGCTACGATACTGCCACTGAGCAAAGCTATACATGATGTTCATTTCTAGTTTTGTGTGTAGAGGGAGGAAGGTTCAGGTCTCCCAGAGTGTTGTTCAAGGACAGTCGCTGCATGGATTTGCGATCACCTGGGACAGAGCTCCTTATCTGCATTACAACACTTGACTCACCTTGACACCAGCCAGGACATGCACTCTTCTAAGTGTAAAGTCCTTTTCTCTTTAGATAGATTATAAAGAACAAATTGTTGATATGAGGCCTAGGCTGACACCCTCATTTTTCAATATGAGAAAGCTTCTTTCCAAAGCCTGATGGTGTTCTTTGTTAACATGATTCATTAAGCTTTCCTGCACCTGAAACTTTAGCAACCTTTTCTTCTGTCAAGTGAAGAATCCAGGTATTCCTAAATCACTCTTAATTCTGTTGCCTGCCACTGATATGGTGGAACAGCCATAATAACCTAACCAGGGATGGATTGCAGCAGTTAAAGAAGTGGTCCCTATGGCAGGCAAGATGACTGTCAAATAGCTGGAGCTTCAGGTAACTGACTACTAAAAAGTGACTAGTTCCCTTCTCAGTGGACCACTCCGGCATAATCCAAAGCAACAGTGTACTACTACGATTTATATATAGGGCGAATAATCTCAGTCTCCTCTATATATGTTTAATTTGACATTCAGGCTATTACTCCAAGTTACAAAAGACTATGCATTTGTTAAGCCATAACATTTTAATTGTATAAATCAAATATTTGTAATACAAGAGGAAGCATGTTTCATTCAGTGGTTATGGAAGCAGCCTCGGTTTTGTGAAACTTTGGTTCAATTTCTTTTTCCTTCCTGTTCTAACTTGAAAAAAATCAGTCTCATCAGGCATCTTTACATGTGCTCTGGGATGCAAGGGGGGCATTTTAATTAGAGCAACTCTCAGGAGCCACTCTAATTAAAATGCTTGCAGCATTTCATGTATTCAGCATCCTGCTCTTCAAAATGGTGGCAGAGGGGCTTTAACTGAAACTCATTCGGTGAGCTTTAAAGTATCCCTGCCAACATTTTGAAATGCGGGGATGCTGGATCCACATGGATCCATGTGACGCTGAGGCTACTAGAGCATTTTAACTAGAACACTCCAGAAGATTTGATTAATCAAGTCTGCTCCTACAAGTCCTAATTAGAATGTGCCAGAGCAGGCACTGGGCACATGTACAGGTGCCCTTTGTGCCTTAGTGCCCTATGAGTACAATAGTATTTCCCTACCCTACAGCAGTGTTTGAAGAAAGATACATTAAAGAGTCTGAGGATACTATATTAAAAAGGAAATTTATATAAATTAGATAAAACGTAATTGTAAAAACAAAGACTTTACTGCCATTAAAACAGTTGTTTCCTAGTCAATCTAAGTAGTAATTACTGAATCACACAGAAAGACAGTTAAATCAGCTCCTTCAACATTTTCCACTTCATGAGCAAAGGGAAATAGAGTATCTTCTATGCCATTTGGCTAAGAAGTTATCATAGTCTTTTGATTTTATATTTTCCCTCAATTTCTATATTCCCTAAATGTTGCGCGCGCTCTCTTTTTCACATGTGCATATTGCAAAGCACTTTAAATATTGGAAGCTATCTCCTATGCTTTCAACAGAAGGAACAGTTGGGTGCTACTAATTCTGACTGCTGAGCTACTTCCCTGAGTGCCTGTGAACATGGTCACTTTGTGGTTTTCTCTCAAGTGACAAATTACTTGTTATGAGAAAACTACACCATAAGCAATCTGCTGCAAGGACTGTTATTTACTATATGCTTACACACTACAGGTGAGGCTGTAGGTGCCAATGCAAAATAAATAAATAAATAGAAATGGTCAAATCGAATTATTCTCTCTTAGCTCAAATGATGGAGGACTCTGTTTTTGGAAGTACAGGCCTTATTTTCTAACCTGAGTGCCTAAGTGTATGGCAGAGCAGACAAACCTGATGTCAGTACCTAGTGGGCCACGGTATTCATCTGACAGTGTATTACGGAGTCTGTTTTTATGCTAGACTAATGTCTCAATGGCTTAAACCAGCAACTAAAGCTTTTGTCCTATATGAAGCTTCATGTGAGCACAGAAGTCTACTCACATAGAGCTCAATGTAATATCAGAGACAGAGCTTCTGCTCATTGTGACTTTACAGCAGGAGGCTAGTGGTTCTCTCTGTGAGAATTCTTACCAATTTTAAAGACTTTTGGGGATGCTTCCACTCTAAATAAGCTTAATATACTGCAAAAGCCTACCTCCATCTCCCTGATACTCATTAACTCACTATAATCATGATTCAGATTGCCTTGTATTCAACCTCTTCTCCCAAAATAATGTATTGAAGTAAGATTGGGCCAGTTTTCCATTATAACTTTTTTCATCGTATCTGAAATTAAAGGTAGATTTATTTCCAGGTTTCACTAAGTTGATAGCAGCCCTTTAAAATACAGACTATTTGTCCTAACCACATGGGAAAAGTATTTAAAATGAATACCTTTTTGGGACAAAGTGACATGGGTTAGTCTTTTCAGCAATGGAAAATATGTAAGAATAGGCATAAGAGTTTAAAATCTTATTCCATTGTATTTTAGTAAAGGACCAAGACTCATAATTTTGCACTACTGGGCATATCTTATTAGGGAAGAACTTATTTCACTGATTGAAAACAAAAGAATTAACTTCATACAAATGAAAAAGAGAACTGTTTAATGAAACAGTTAATGGTTGTGCCAATTTCCTGTAAATTTAGAAGATAAAGGTCATGCTATACTGCAAAAATGCATTTTAGACTCCAGTACTAACAATGCATTTTAGATGTCCAAAAAGTGATTTGTACATAGAGAGGCAAGTATAAATCAAAGTCCCACGGCCATTCCTGTGTAGCCTGTCAATCAGTGACATGTTAATGATACTACTAAGTACGTGGGTGAAACAGTCAAGCCGGCTGGCAAAAGTGCTTTGTAGTCTGGACTTCTCTAGGTCCATCAGGTAAAACTCTCATCCTAAAGTAATAAGTAATTAAAAGGACTTTTCTTTCTGTAAGCTATGATCCTATATTAAGTAAAAGTTCCCTAGTTGGACTTTACTCCATGGTGGTTCCAGATTGATATGGTGATACTAAAACCATGCCAGACATGGTTGCAGGGTAAGCATGCAAAATTTCCCCCCCCCCAAAATGATTTTTCCCCTCTTGTGCACAGTGCAAGGCAAAAAATTAAAAAACAGACAAGGGTAATGGACAAGCATGTTGACTGTGATAGAACACGTGCAAATATACCTCAGAAACACTATAGGTGGATGAGCACGAAGGGAGCCGAGCCTGGTTGTGCAGCGAGGAAAAGAAAACATTGTTAAAATGGAAATGGTGGCACAGTAAGGATCTCAGAAGGTTTTCTGTATAGGTGGTTCCAGCACTGAGACATTAGCAGGGGGTTCATTTAGTTCCAAAGACCAGGTATTTCAGTATCAAAATGCTTCATAATTTAGGCCATTTAAGGTGGAAGCTTCTTTTAAAAGATGGAAAGTCTTTTTTTCCTTCAATAATGGTTACAACTAGTAATGAATCTGAAGTAAGGATTCAATCTTTCCTCCCCCAGAGAGCTGGCAATGCAACAAGAACGTTCTTGTTAGGACAGTTCAGTATTCTGGGACAAGGTTTTCCAAATCTCTCACGTTTAACCCTCATAGTTTTATTATAGTTCTGCAAAGCATGCAGTGTGAAAAGACATCAGAGGCTCTCACCTTTCCTATATATCATCCTGATGTCATTTTATTTGATGCTCAGTACTAGCATTTTGATCATGGGCTTCTCTCTTCTGTCTCCATCTTCTCCAAAAAATGGGAGATCATTAGCTCTTGTGCAACCAATGATTTGTATGTTATTAAGGCTAGGTCTACAATACAAACCTCTGGTTACCTAGCTGTGCGCTTCTGGGAATGTTGTACTGGAGGAAGACCACAGTACAGATGCAGTTTTATTAACAAAACTATGCTTTTACTGATACAGTTTGTTTTGATCAGGCAGTTTAGTTGTACTATCTAGGCATAAAACACAACTTTACTGATACAGCTGCATCCATACTAGGATCTCTTTGCCCCTTGATAGCTTTCCTATCATGGTAAAGCACTCCTTGTATAGATGTATGTTCAAAAATACAAATCAGAAAGAGTCTCTATTCATTACTTGGAAACTTGGAATGTTTTTGAACCTCAAACCCTTTCCCTTGATGGTAATATTTTACACTTCACACACAGCAACGATTCCAAAGGCTATGTTCTGTCCTTTACACATCACATGTCTTGGATCATCAACTAATCTGGGTTTTAAGGATTGCCGCAGTGTCAATTCCCCATCGAGTTCTGCCAAACTTGCATTACCCTGGTGACAAATGTTGCAAAGACCTAAACAGTCTAATAAATGAGAAAAATGAAAAGGGAATACAAATGAGTAAAAAATATCTTGTTTTGACTTTTTCCCCAAAGTTGGATAAATGAATGACCTGATTTTCAGAAGTGCACCCCAAACTCCAACTTGTTTCATTCAAATTAGTGGTCAGCTCTTCTCAAAATCAGGTTAGATGTATGTACATTCAAGATGAGCACAAGAAGTTCCATTTATGTTACCAGACCACAAAAAAACATGTGCCCACTTAGGAAACATGATGGAGTGTACTTAGAAGAAGACACTGATGTGTAATTCACATGTGGGTGTTCTTCAGTATCAGACACATGATGCCATCTAATTTTCTTCATGAAAATTGGAAGGGTACAATTGCAGGAAAATCCCATTCTCTATGCTTGGCTACATTCCCTTATGAATCTACTACAATATTTTATAGAGATATTTATACTTTCCAGGATATTGAAATATTCGGATTAAAAACATTTTTTCTCTTCTTTGGCATTCTGTATATATTTCCTTTCCTCTGCCTATATACAGCTATTTAATGAAACTCTATGAATATGGACTATTTTAAATAATCGTATGTGCCCAACATTTATTTCTCTCTGTCATAATTTTGTGACCACATGGTACAGCAGCTTTTCTTGGTTTTACAGAAAAAGATAATGTCACAAATAGAAAACTACTTCAGTTGACTACAAATAACAGAAGACAAATTCTGAAAAAAGACCATTTTTTATGCAGCCCCTTTTTGAAAAGAATGAGTGCATAAACAACAGAACATAGAGCAAGATAGTTTCAGAGAGGATTTTTGCAGCATCCCAACAGATAGTGGGTGGTCTTTGGTTTAATTATAAAGCATGGAATCTTGTTATTCCTTCAGGATCTTTGGCTGAGTCCCCAGTTACAACACCAATATATATTTTCCAACCATAGTTCACAAGTGTTTTGTGAGAGTAAGGGGAAAGAAGATCCATTAGCTTTAGCTTAGCAGGTAAGGATCTAAAGAATGCAGTATTAGCAGGAATAATCAAGGCAGCAGCTTTTAAAGCATAAGAAATTAAATAAATAGGAACAGGAGCAGTAAGGGAGTTTAGAATCGTATCTAACAGAGCTGGAAAGGACCCCATGTACTTTATTTCTCATATGCAAAAGTTAGTACTAAATCCTGGTGTGTTTACTTCCTTTGTCATGTTATTTCAGGGTCTAGTTACCTTCACTCAAATATTCCTTTACTACTGAGCTTCAGACTTTTATTCCTTTTATCATATAGCTACCTTAAATAATTCCTTACTCTTCTCTTGTGTTAAAACCTCTTAATTATTTATAGGCATATGATGATATATACATTAATTTTCCTTAATCTCACTTAATGCCAAATTTTCTCTTAATTTATTCAACCATAAATTAGAGACCCCCCTCTATTTTGTGTCATTTCCTTATAACGATGTACTCAAAACTCTGCTCCAAGTGTGGATTTATCATGGCTTTAAGATCATGAATGACCTCCATCCTCTCACACATGGCACTTCCATGCGCACATTCCAGTGTAGCTTCTGGTCATGTTCAATTTGATGCATGCTAACTGCTCGTGAATCCTTTGAAATTCTGTCTGGTATAAACATTCCCTAATTGTATTACATAGCATTATTTAAATTAAATATCAACCCATTTTTCTAAACTCTCTCAATGATTCAGTAATTTCTCTCTGTGACCTACTATATTTTCAATTCCCTCCTAATTTAGCACCATCTGCAAACCTGAAAGATGACCCTTTCTAGCTTTTCCTTCTAGTTAGATGGAGAAGTTATCTTTGTTTCACAAGAGATCACATGGCTCCTACACTTTACTTCAGATGACGCTAATCAAAACGTACCAGGATCTGAGCTGTTCTTTCTATCAGCAATCCAAATAAAGATATATATCCTCAGCTGTTAAAAATGACTATAGCTCGAATGACTTTAGAAAAGCAGTACCTATTTACATCAACAAAGAAACTGGCCCAAAGGCTTCATTAGCATCTTGCCATGAATCTGAGGACCATATGACCCATGTCTCCTATCTTTAAAAAAGAGACACCATTAAAAGGGAATAAAAATTCTATAAACGTAATCCTTCCTCATGACCAAAGAAGGCAAGTGCTAAGATCAAGATGTAACATTGCATGTTGGGCCCTGAAGCCTTCATGGGAAACCTCTATGTGAAAGATGATGCTAGTAGCCCCAGGTTTCATTATAGAATATAAATGTGCCATATTTGGCCTTCCAGATACATTTTGGATGCTCTTACTTTGGTCTTAAAATTGGAATCTTTGATATAAACTGCATTCAAAGGTTGATGGCCATATTTTTCTAGGATTTCTAGATATTCTATAGATTAAAAAAAACCCTATGGAGTTTATATGTCTGCAGTATTTTTCTGGAGATTTTTAACTTGAATGTGAAGTTTATTTTCTAGCCTATACAGTTATAAATACATTTTCTAAACATAAACTCATGCAGTGCTGGTTTTTCAAACTGCTTGATTCAATCATTCAAGGAGGTGTCAATTTTGAAAATGAGATACTAATCTGATTAAGTAGTTTGCAGCTGATAATTTTAACATTTAATGTATTCTATTTAGTGTAACTGCATTAACTTCAAAAACTGAGAAAGTCTAAAATCTTAAAGAACTAATTGATATATGAAATATTTAATTTTCTTTTGTCCTCAGCAAAGGGTTCTGGGAAGGATGACAGATATTAAATATAAAGGGAACTGGAATTTCTCTAGGAGTAGGCAAATGGAGTATATTTGATTGAAGATCTCGGGGGGGAGGGGAGAAAAAAATTCTCAATTTGGGATTTTTTTTAAAGAAAAGACATGACTACTGATACAAAAAGTAATTTTAAAATTAAAATAACTCAATACATTTTCAAGTCTTAATTTACTAGTATTTGTATATGTGTTTTGAGTTAAAACACTTAAAAATCTAGCAAATTTTCCAAACATTTCAGCAGAATCAAGGACAAAATTCTAAAAATTTGGCAAAAATTTCTGCAGATTTCCAGTAGCTGTCCCAATTAATGAGGTAAATGTATCTTTGAAATCCACTATAACACAAAGTTTCCACCTTAATAGAATACAAGACTTTGCAACTGCATTAATTTCTCCATAATTGGGCTGGTCAATAGCTATTACCTTTTCCCTTCTTACACCAGTCAATCCAGTTGCCACATTATTATAATGTGAGCTATTTTTATTCAAACCCCTTTCCAAAAACAGTATGGAGAATATAAATAATAATTTGAAAGTACATTTATTAAGTATTTCCTCATTACTTTTTTCCAGGTGCCCACCATTTATGAAGTAATGAGTTTTTAATCTAACCAATGACAATGTGGTCTCTTCTTTTTTATGCCGCTTTATGAAAAACATCCATTATCGTGGCCTGTATCAGATAGATAATTTAAGCTGTGAAATTAGTTTCAGATTTTGAATTTAGTATCTTGTAATAGTTTCAATTTTCAGAGGTAATGTAAAGGCACCTGTGGAGTCTACAGTACATATCTTGACTCAGACTTTGATCTCCTTGCTCATCTAAAATAGTTGACTTTTGAAGGCAAAGGGTCATATTATAAGAAATAATCTGACATAGATGAAGGCAGCTATTTTATCTTAAATCAGTATCCCAATCTCCAACCGTCCAATTAAACAATTCCTGAGATACAGAAGGTTACTAGAGCCACATCTTTTCACTTTGCACCTTTCCTTGTGTAACTTTTTGTGGGAGGATGTATGATCAGAACAGTTTTTGCAACATTCAGCTTCGCTATCCACTTTCTGTAAGATCTGTGTTTATCCAGCAGAACTAAAGTGGACTCAAGGGTGAGACAGCTCAGATGAAATTTTTTTTCTGTCCTTCTAAAAGCTAATACGTTCGGCATATCCCCAAATGAAAAAGTCACACAGGTTATGCCCAATGAGACAGCTTGCTTAGTAAAATTACATGGGTTCCAAAGTGCTCTCATCAATTTGGTTTTAAAGAGCTCTTGTGTATCATTAGCTCTTGTATATGACCTTGTGTAAGAACAGGGTGTTCTACTTGAAAAGAGCAAGAGTAATCTTTGGGCTTAGTTTTAAACTGAAATGTACAGAAACATATGAAGGTCTACACCTCTTCTTTTACTTTTACTACATCACCATACTGGGTTTTTCATTAAAGTGGCAATGCTGCAAACGATGTCAACTACCACAGTATATGGAGACACAAATAAGGAGAAGGGTCTACAGACATTATTTTGAGAGCCCTCTCTGAATGGAGAGTCAAACAACTGGTATTTTGGGGTAAACACAGTTATAAATGACTATGTCTATATGCCCACATATTTTCCTTGTTTTTCTAACTCATTGCATGGTGCAATTTGACCTGCTTGTAAAGACACTGTTGAGAGGCAAGTCCAATATTTCAAGAGGATTACTCTCATAGGAAAGAGGCACTGTCTGTATTGCTCTGTTGGATACAACTTGTAAGACATCTTTGGCTCTGGGAATATTGAACCATATAGAGGTGTCATGAATAATATGATGAACCTTAACAGTTATTTCAAGTGATTTTTCTCAGTTCCAAACAAGGTTTTTTTCATTACAGCATAAATGTAACATCTAAGAAAGGTGCTGAATGTTATTTTGTGTGCTAAAAAGATTCTGTTAACTCAAAACGAGCTCAGATATTTTCTTAGCTTTGCATATAACACCAATATTTAACTTTTTATTGAGATCAAACAGGGAGTGGAAGAACATCAAAGGCAATGGAGAGAAGTAGGTAGTAGCTAAAGCTGCATCAGGATTACTTGAAACCAGCCACAGCTTTCAGTTCAAAAGCTTTCAGTAACAGACAGAAGAGGCTTCCCTTTAAACTGAGGCTATCTGCTGAATTTGTTATGAATTCTAATATTTAGGAACCTCCTACACATACAGTTTTGATTTTGGAAAGGGATTTTTTTTGTTTGTTCAGTCATTTGCTGCCATTAAAACAGTCAAAGTTTGATCAACATTCATGAAAAATATACTAGGGTTTTCTTTCAGACAAACCCTGCTAGTTAAGTTAGAATTCTCGCAGACATTACAATGAAACCCCAGCTAGAAAAGAAAGAAACACAAAGGGAGAAAGAGAGAGAAAGGAAAAAGATGGGGATGAGCGGACAAACCAATCAGATTTGGTGTTACCAGCCAGCGGAAGTTTTAAAAAAACAAATCACCGAGTGAAATCGTACATTTACTCGGAGAGAGCATCCTTTGACATTGCCTTCTAGGTGATCTCTGAGCTCCTCCAGCTTTCGATGGAGCTACATGTAAACATCAGAAAATGAATTGAAAAAGCAACCTGTTCTCTTTTCACGTTTTTCTTTTTTCTTTCTTTCTTTCTTTTTTTTAAATAAGATCATAGCATAACACATTTCTCACTGCCTTTGGCAAAACATTTCAAGACATCAAATTTCTTTGCACAACACAAATATACATGCTCAGTAAACTCTCAAGCTGGAAATGATCTATTCTTTCTTGATTAGCAACGCTATATTTTCAGTATGGGAAAAATAAACACAACTAAATAAAGGGATAGTCATTCTAAAGATATTTGCTTTCTTCAAGATTATGTGCATATTTTTCTTTGGCAAGGCCATGTGCTGCATATGGTCTAGTGACAGAAAACTTTCTTGGAGTCAGTTTTCAAATGCAAGGACCTCAGTTAGGGTTCTCCATTCTATATTTCGATGTTTGATATTGGACTCTGATGCCTAAGAAACTATGTTAGTTAGCTAAGTTGCCATTTTTGCTGTTCCAAACAAGAACTCAGAACTCTAAATTAGGTATCAGCATTTGAAAAGTAGGCCCCAGCTATTTCTTTTGAAATTGACAGACTATCATATTTAAGCCCGACTCATAAAAAAAAATATTAAGTAAGTCTCAACCCAAAAAATGTTTTTTTTTTCATTCAAGGTAGGCATACATATTATACATATGCATTAAGCATAAATGTAGTCTCATTAAAAAGCAGAAATCAAAGTAGTTATTTATACAGACACTTTCAAAAACACAATAGAAACTGTGGCTCATATTATTTTCCTTCTGTGAATTCAGATTGTATTGCATTGTGTTCTGTTGAAATGACAGTGCATCATTAATATACAGTGCTTTCCTCCTGTACACTGAAACTGTGACAAAGGGAGAAGAAAAGCTAAAGCCTCACAGCTAGACAGTGAGGAATGCTACAGGTGCTTCTAGGTTGCACTGGTAGAAACAAATAGCATCTGGATTAGTTTGCTATACTGAAATCAATTTAAATGGTGTCATTACTGGAAATAGGTGCATAATTAATCCTTCCCCTCCCCCTCTTTATGCTCAGTGAAATAGCGCTTTCACGGAGAGCAGCTGTACAGCAGTGTTAGAGAACAGAGAGGATGGCTTGTCCTGGACCAAAGGCAACACACATACATACAAAAAGAAAACAAAAAACATAAATCAAGAAGGCAGGGAAAGCTAGGAGAGTGCAGAAGAAGAAATTAATAATTAGTGCTTCAGAAAGTTCTAAAAGGAAATAAAGTGGAAAAAAGGTGAAGTATTGAAATGACTCAAAAAGAGGCTACTGTTGAGACTGAATCTTGACCTGGTGGTCTACACTGTGCACCTTCAGCATTTTGGTAAATTTGGGCTACTCAGATATGGTTTTCAAATACATTCGTATGAGCAAGAAAGTATTCTCAGTGAATATTTAATGTCTATTCATATGAGCTACTGTGCAAGAGTGGGCACTAGTTTACAAATCTGCCTGTTTTCTTAAGTGCTATAAATGGCTGAAGCTTTTTATATTTAAAAAAGAAGGCAGAAAAAGGACTAGTACTATTTGCTAAGTAATAGCTCCACACTTATTAAATTTACATGGATCTCTCTCTCACACACACACCTGAAGCATATAGATACTAAATAATCAATTTTCATTAAAATGATATTTTGAGGAATTAATTCCAAACAGTGAGAGCACTAAACCAACACTGTAATTACTCTTAAAAAGGAGAAAAAGTCCTCTATAAACAAGTCACTTCTCTGTGTAACAGGTAGTTAAGACACACTGAATGACATTAATCAGAGAAGTGGTTTAATCACAAGCCCCAGATTATAGGAACCTAAAGCAGGCTGTTACTATCTCTTATTTGTAGTGACATTCAAAGCTAGCTACTTGGCAGCTTGCCTTCAGCTGGTTGTTCTATGTGTAGCACAGAAACAAACAAAATGTGACCCAACAGCGATAAGGTTACTGAAATAAAAACAATGGGATGGTGAGAAATGGAAAAGCCCCTTCCCACCCTCCCTTTCCCTCCCCTCTCCAAAAGGAAAAGTGTAGGCTATAGAAGAAAACTTGCAAAATAAATGTTAGAAACATATTTACTTTGAGGGATCCAACTCTACTAGCAACTCCTTTGCTTTCATCCGGCCGTCTAATTTGCTACAATGGGGGAAGATGGGTAAAAAAGACAGAAGAATAAAGAAAAAGTGAACTTAAAAAAATTTCCACACAATCAGTTAGCAGTACATGCAAGACATCAATTTGACTCTCTGAGACACCTCTAGAGGACAAGGACACAAACTTATTTCTGGAATAAGTGATGCTTCATCATGTCATCTTAAACTTGTTTCACTGAGACTTCTTTCTTTAAATATATTAAAAATTCAACACTGAAAGTTTGCATGCTAAACCCACTATCAATGTGTTTTTAGAATGCATATTACTTAGAATTTCATGATCACCTGAATTTGGTATGGAAAACAGTGAAGTCCTAAGACACTAATAACCCTCCCCTCCCCCCCCAGTATCTTTCGCTCCAATTAATGTTTTAACCTTGTCTTATAAACTGGAAGTAGAAGGTATCAACAACATTATTAGGAACAGATGTGTGCTATAAATTGAGGTATCCTGACAAGTATCATTATAGATACCTGAGAGAATGAAATCCAGCTTCATACTGACCCAGGCCTAGAGGTTTTAGCCACTGCCATTAAGATTCCCAATTAAACAACTGTGCTGCCCAACCAGAAAATTTTAATGCCAGACCAATATAAGTTTTACTATAATATGTCTGTGCTGCATTTTTAACACCACCTGTCTGGTTCTTTTTCCTTAATTATACTAGTTTTTTTCTAGATGATGTAAAGAAAGGAAGAAGCAAATGAAGCTGCTGTTCATCAGTCTTTCATGCCACTATTAATGTGTCAAACAAAACCTTCAAATGGCAGATGGGCTACTGTCTTAGTTAAGTTCTGAAAAACCCACTTGAAGTAAGAGATCCATCCAGAACTAACACTCTACTAAAGAAAGTTACCTTTCTGTACTGAAATTAAAACTAAATCATTTTATTTGAGGAAAGGGGAGAGTGGAAGAGGACGAGAAGTGAAGCTGAATGCCACAGATGAGATTGAATTTTTCACTTATTGCTTGTTGGTCAGCCTAGGTTGGCAGTGACTGACAGTTTTTATGATCTGATGGCTGTCCCACAGTTTATGTAAAATAGGTTGTTGCGTTCAGGTCCAGTTAACAATGGATGCATCATAAATAACTTAGCTGGCATTCCTTTGATAATCTCAATAGGCAAGCCAGAGACTGAAAGGATCACAGAAAATCAACTCTTCACACAGTGCTATAAGTGATACTTTCAGGTCGGGCTGAGAGACAATGGCAAGAGCGGTGGTTGTCAGTAGGTGCATCTACCATGTGCTTTACTGCAGAGTAGACTAATTAGCTCTGCAGTAAAGCGTCACTGTATATATGTGAGCTGGTATTAAGACTCAGTAAACAAATTAGTACTGTCAGGGATAGTAAGATAATATTGTTGAGGATAGTGTTATCTTATGGGGGGAGTAATTAACTGCACAGAAATGCACCTGTAGATGCTGACTGGGGTCATAAATTGTGCCCAGTTAGCCCAATGTGCCAGGGGCCTGCTCCACCCTGGCTCAAACTGTTGCTGTCCTGGGAGTATGTGTAGATGCTGTGCCCAGGAGCAGTTTACTCTGGCTTGAAATGTTCCAGTTTATTGCTTCACATTAATTGCATATGCAGATGCACCCACTGAAGCCTATACCACCACTACTTGTGTTGGACTTAAAGTGTGGATAAGTTTGGGACTTCACTCTCAAGGGATGTCAATCTAATACTTTTCTTTAGCAGCAAATTCACAAGGAAAAATGCAATTAAGCATTATTAAGAACAGGGGACTTTAATTCTGATCAGATGTAGAAAATACTTTTTGTAATTTACTGTATAACTTCAAGGGTCCCATTAAATTATAATAATCTCATTCTGTATAAATGAAACACCTACTTTTATTTTCATGATAGAACATAAGTAAATCTTCAGGCAGTTCAGGTATTCTCACAATGAATAACCCAGTTATACTAAAAGACCCCTGTAAAAAAACAGATTTCATTTAAATATATTCATGCTTATAACCTACATGCTTTTATATAATAATATTTTATTTTTCTCAAGTCCCAAAAGGGGGAGTAGTAGTGGATCAAGGAAAGGGATTTCATGGATTTGTATTTATCTTTCTTTATATGCAAAAAAGAATGGGAATCAGAAAAAATAAAAATCGAAAAGAGAACACCTCAGCACTACCAAAAGAGAAGCTGATGGTTGTGGAGCAAACTCGGTGGCTGTTTGTAAACAGTGGATGTGTCTACACATGCATTTACACCAGCTTAAATTTACTGTGCAGTAAGTGGAAATAGGCTGGCAGCTACACATGCAGGTGTTAAAGTGCATTGGTCTGACCTGGGATTAAAGTTAGTCCCAAGTCAGTCCACATACAAAGTGTTACTGCTCAGTAAGGTGTCTGTGCAGTAAATTAAATGTGCAGTAAATGTGCATGTGTAGACATGCCCAGTGTAAACTTTATCATCAAAGCTAAGCAACTCAACATAATCTCAGCTCTGAGGCTGACCCCTTCAAAGCTATGGGGAAAGGGACAATGTTACATCATAGGGATACTGGTAGCAACTCTTTTTTAAGGCTATTGAGCATTTTCCATTAGAAAAGTTCCTTTGGCTTTTGGGGGGAATATCTTACATTTTTCTGCAGCAGCCGTTTCCACTCATCAGGGAGAAAACCATCCATGAAAGTGCTTTTTCCATCCCAGTCAAGTTTAGCTTGAGTTGAAAAAACTGTCATTTGCATACATTGTCACCAAAAATGTTGACAAGTTAGCCAGAACAGTAAGTAAATGTGAAGAACAGTAAGTAAATGTGAAGAATCTAATCTAAAGCCAGGGAAAACCACTGACAAAGCAGCAGCAGAAGCAGCAACAGTACCTCAAGCTCAGGCTACACAGGAAAACCATCATCTTTCTGAGCTGTGCTCTATGTGACAATTCTCTCCCTTGGACCAAAGTACATGGCCAAAGTCTATCTCCCCCATTTTGCGTATACTGTCTGGAAAAGGAGATTCTTCCAACCATTGTCTCACTTACTATAGGAGTTGTGTGATGGGGACAGTATAGAGAATGTGATGGGGAATTGCAGGAAGAGAAAAGAACATCTTATGGTTAGAGCTAAACAGAAGAACTCAGTCCTATCCCTGGTTCTGCCAAAGTCTTTTCAAACAAGGGTGAGGAAGTCCTAAAAACCAAATAGGTGGCTACTAATTACACATTTCTCATTTTCCTAGGTGCCCAAGATGAGCCACCAGGAAGTGCTGAACACTCAAAACTGGAACTGAAGTTGAGGTGTGAAATCTTGGCCCCACTGAAGTCAGTGAATCTTTTGCCATTGATGTCAATGGATGTGTCTAAACCACATTAACGCTGATCCCAGGGAGAGCCACTTTTCAGCACTGCCCCACCTAACCAGTATCATGGCTGCTTTTAAGATCTGCTTTGGAGCGCTTGATATCAGCCTTGGAGGTCACCTGTGGAGCACCTTTTGCTATAACACTTTTAGATCTGATGTATGTGAGCAGGAGGGGTGGGCAGGGCATCCCCAAGACTGCAGAAATACCTCCTGGAACAAGAAGTTCAATCGGTGAAAACTGCTGATGACTTGTAATTGCTCCATATCTTTGGCATGGAAACAGTGCATTCTGGGGGAATAAGTACATGATGGGAAGATCTTAAATTCTAACCTTGGTTCTGCATTGATTCCAGGTGTGGGCTAGGTGAGTCTCTACCTTTGATGCTATATCTGTAAAATGAGGTGAATAATATTCTTTTTTTACAAGGGAGATGAGGAGATATATTCATTAATAGTTATTTGTGGTGCACTAAGAGGTACACTGAAGGCAAGTCTACACGCCAACTTACTGTGCCATGCAGCAGTGTGCTCAAACATGCCATGCTGCTCCATATGCTTTGGATTCCCAAATTCAAAGCTGTGTTAAAACATTGGCAAAGAGAGGTAGTTAGCCATGTTAATCTTATGTCTAGCAGAAGGCAGGGTAGAGATGCACCTTCTTAGATTAATGGAATCAGAGATGTGTAAGCTTTTGTAAGAGCTTTATCAGATGCTATGAAGGGACATGCACAGAGCTCTTTATCCTACCTTCAACCCTAGCAGAATCATAAAGCTGGGCTCTCCCTCTCAGCAGTGCTAACAAGCACCTAGAGCACAGTCAAATGTGGCTACTACATTACTTATGGTTCAGAAGGTAACACTGGCTAAGAAGTGCTGTATGCCTGAACATGGTAAGTCTGCTATCTAGATTTGCCCTAATTCCCTAGAAAGAATCCTGAGGGAATGAATAACTCTATATTCATTTGTTGCTTTGAATATTTTGTAGCAAAAAGGTAATGGGCCATTGATTAAACAATAAGGTAACATTTTGGACATCTGAGGCACTTTGTGAGCATCTTCTATACTGAGCATTGATGAGACGGGAAAAAAGGACAAAAACATAATGCATGTGCACGCGAGGCCAAAATTAAGATTGCACAGGCAATCTAAATTATGGTACGTCTTTTAAGAACTTGATTTTGCAGCCTAACTATTGCTCATTTAACTCAATGGTATTTTAAAAATATTTTTCCAGCCATGTCTCTATCTAAAAAGTGAGTGGGTATTCTCACTTGGGATGGATAGATTATGGAAAACAAAAAGACAGCAGATATATACAACTGTGATAGGTAGATCTCAAAACCTGTGAGAGTTTAGGCCACAAATCTTACTCCTATCAGTTCAAACTCAGACATCAAACTGCCAAGGCCTATGTGCTGCTAAAATGATGCAAAGACTTACATTTCCTGCTTGATCATAAACAGAAAATCTGCACTTACTCAACTGTAAGATGAGGTTTTTCTCCCATTTAGCATGGCAATGGGGAAGCTCCCTGCCTTAGAATCATGTATGAAGGTGGTGTGGGAGCAGGCAGCTGCTGTGGCTCAGGCTCCAGACTCTACCTGGGGTTGGGGCTATAGCTGCAGTTGTAGCTACTTCCTGCCCCTCCCCACCCTATTGTCC